CGCAAGTGTGGTGCTGGGCAAGGGGTCTAGGGTTTGATTTCCGGGTAAAACAAAGTTATACGGGGATTTGAAAAAAAATTTAGTATTTAACATATTTCAGTAAAGGTTTTCTTTTACTAGGTATGTACTTATACTTTTTACATATTTCAAAAAAAAGGAGGATTTATTTTGTTTGGACGTTTGTGTTTTTTTAAATGGGTAGGTACGCTGAATTTTATTATTTTGTGGCGATTAGTAACCTACTAAAATAACTTTATACATATATTTGATTATGGATATCATACGAAAATAATGTACTTCATTTATTCAAGAAGAGTCTGTAATTTCGGTTATTTTTGAATCTAGTAACATTATGACACAGTTATTATTTGTTAGTAAACGTAATGTGGGTCGCGGAGTAACATCACGGATGGAGGAGCACGCGTGTAACGTAAATGGCGCAGAATTAATGGAATTATATCTTGCAACATGTTTCTTCTTGTTTGTTTGTCTCGCAGGATGTAATGCAACTATTGTTTGTTTACTAAACAACATTCTAGTGGCGCTAAGGTCAATGTTTGGCAACTTGCGAGTGTTTATATGGAGCAATATGTAAAGAATGTAACTTATGTTTAAGTTATTAGTTGATTCAATTTTGTAATTTGTGACGATGACACTGGTAATCATTTCAAGCATACTTGTAGATATTGAGAAACGTTATGATTGTTATAATTTAACTTAAATCTAAAGATCTATTATACTCCGGCGCAGTAGAACGACAGACGCGTAATCACTCGATAGTATAAAACAGAGTCACTATCCGCCGTCTGTCTGTCCCTATGTATGCTTAGATCTTTAAAACTATGCAACGGATTTTGATGCCGTTTTTTAATAGATAGAGTGATTCTTAAGGAAGGTTTATATGATAATACATGCATATTGCACCCGTCCAAGCCGGGGCGTGTCGCTAGTTATATATAATCGTCATGTTTACTAAATAGAGTTATATGAGCTTAAACACATATACGACAACAATACCAGATACTTAAAAGGTCATCAGTCTTTATACTGAAACAAAGCCTTAACTTATATAACAGCTATATATATAATTATGTACTTTAAAACGCTGATCAGCGCCTGCGTCGCTTCTCATTGACAAGCTAGCGCAGGCACACGTTGTAAATCACAGTATTCACACGGTAATTATGCATGCGCCCGAGTTGCCGGATCGCGATCGTGGCTGTAATACACACCGTACAGTGGACCTTGATTCTATTAATGAATTTTTTAATACTTATATGAGTATTGCGACCTAGTCTGATTCATTCTCTTCGGTTTTGTTAGATCCTCGGGACTAAAAATATTAATTTTAGCTCTTCGATTTAGAAAATTACATAACATAACACATATATGACATTACGTCTTTTATCCCCGAAGAGGTAGGCACAATGTAGTACAATGTAACACCCACTTTGCACTATTTTTGTTATACGAGTCCCATGAAATAGCGGGTGAACATATTGCCATATACCGAGCCCGATTTCAGGCTCCGTGTTACTACTGAGATTTTTTAATTTTTAAAAAACTCTGTAATACTTTGCCCGACCGGGAATCGAACCCGAGATTCCTTGCTCCACAGTCGTACTTGTGATTATTCGGCCAACGAGGAAGACAGGCAGGCAGAACATTATTTTCTGCTCAAATATTGACGATTAATGGACTATGTAAAACATATATTTAACGAATACGATGTCACAGGTTAGTATTTCAGTACAACAATTAATTACTTATTTACTACATTTTCATCTTTTCACAAAACCACATAACTTTATATTATGTTCGTTTGTCAAGTGTTACACAGAGAACTTGGATCATGTTACATCTCGGTGTATACAGCAGCCCAGTAAGTGGGTAATTAGAGTTATCTAAATAATAAGTGTCGGTAATACAAGTTACAGTAACGTGTGTAACGAGAGGTTAACTGTCGCTGTTATTGTATCTACGAAGTTTAATTGTTCAGTTATTGTCGCGTTTTGTTCTCTAGAGCAATTAAGTTGGGGGTGGAGGGGAGTTTTGATATTATATTCAGGAAATAAAGTTAGATTCAATTGTCTAAATAGCAACGTAAAACGAAATCATAGTATTACTTTGCCCGGCCGGGACCCCCATCGAGAAATTGCAATCGGCCAATGAGGCCATCAAGAGCATCTATCTACCCGGCCCTTTACGGACAATAGCGAAATAATAAGTACATACTAGTTATATCATTATCGAATATTCACGCCCTCGATTATGCAAAAAAACACCATTGTATTTAAAAGGTCACTATCGTACTACGCTAATTACGAATCCACGACCTCATGTATGAGGAGCTGGCCCCTCAACCTCCGGGCTATCACGACATTTGACATAACAGTTTTGTAACAACATTGGTATTATTACATTTGAACAACACATGTTATATAACCGCGCTGTGGCACTAGACGCCATTATAAGTGAGAAAAGTTTATAACTAGCGAACAAAAGCTGGCTATTACCATGCGTGCGCGCATGAGGGATAGGGCTGGCGATTTGATTAAGGACTTGCATCGGACGTGAAATAGGAATTAGCAATTGTTTATAAGAGTTCATTATTATAACTTTCATGAGAATGTTTATGAGAATGTTTATGATGATGAGAATGTTTATGATAGTGTGTAAAGCGGTGGTCTTCAATATGCAGTTTTATATTATAAAATTTTGTATAATGTATGCAATCATCACACTAGGCCAGACAAATAAACATACTATTAAAAAATGTGTCATAGAGCTTAAACACGTAATTATATTGTTTAAGTAAATTAAACTTAATTTAAAACACTAGACAGCCCTAAGTTTCTCCGCGTGACGTAAACCGCGGAAGAGGTACAACCTTGACCTTATTGACACTTTCTATGCGCGTGCGCAGCCCGCTTACGTCACGTCAATCCACGGAAACACGAACGCACATGCACACATCTAATACACTCATTACATTATAATTTGCATTTTTATAACATCAATTGCATTTGTTTCTGTGTTAATGGTCTGCACATGTATTAACTCACAGAGAAATAGAAAATTAACTTTTTAAATACATCCTATATAATCTTATTAGATGAGTCTGATACTTTTTGAGACAAAATTCAAGAAGCAACGTTTTAATTTGAATGGGGTCGTAGCGTAGTTAATTGAATTTACACTTGTAATGACAATTAATTCGAGGAGCTCGCTCCTGGCAACAAGCGGCGGTAAGAAAACGCGCGATTAAAATAAAAATAAAAAGAAAGACTAGAGGATTAATGTTCGTATTGTAGTGGTGCAGGGTTGCACGGAGAACAAAGATGAATGACTTGTGTTACCGTGCCTCGTGCCGGCAAGTGACGTGATGCAATATTCTGCGGTTACAGCAGGGTTGGATTATCTTGAATTAGATATTCGATACCAAAATTATATTTGTTTATTTATTTTCAGAAATCGAAGAAACGGTTTGTCGAGTTTAAAAAGCAATGAGAATTTCAAGAATATTTTGTGTATGGCTATATTTTTTTAATTTTTTTTTTATAATCTAAGTACTTATTTTCTATACTGCAATAATTATCTTTCATGGGTATTGTTTTATCATTATATTGTTGTTTATATTAAATTATCTTTCATGGAATCTGCTTCTGATGTTCTAACTTACATAGCAGAGACAGCCCTACAGTGCGGTGGCGCTGCACGCCGCAGATTGTGACGTAACCCGTTCCGTAGCGCCGCAGTCAGATGACGCCCTTATGTCTATGATTCACTCGATTTGTAGCAAATACAGTTACAGATATCTAAAACCTGTTTAGTTTCTTTTTACGGTATACATATCGTGAAAGACTCCTGTTTCTCGTTTGTCTATTCTTTTTAGCCTAAAATTCTATTGTCTTAACCTAAGACATCTAAACGATATTAATTTAACTTTATTTTAAACACTAGAATATTGATTTCCGTATACACAGTGAATGAAACAGAAAGTACTGTGTCAGCCCGCATTCAGTGCGCTGATGATATCGCGTATCACTGTTGTAACAGGTGAATAACTTATTCATTGGGTCACATCCAATTGTTCCTGTGTTAGTAACCTATTAGTGTAATAATTACAAATATATACAAATATAATTATAAATTTCGTTTCACTTTTTCAAAATTATTATAGACTTACAGTGTCCGGGATAGTCCACTATGTATTATAATACTTTTACACAATAGCAGGAGATGGCAATTTAAAAGAATCAAGTTTATTAGAGAGCACCTTCGACAAAAGTGTAGGTAAATTATGTATAGAATTCCTAAAAATATGTATAGTATCTTTATGTATTAACATAATATTGACATATTCTTATTCGCAAATATTTATGATATGCGGAACATTGACACACTTAATTTTAATATTGAAATATTATTCAATATTATTTAATATGATATAATACTATTTATGATGATGTTTTCAATTCCTATAATTATGAAATAAAATGAAATATGTCTTAAACTATTAGATTCATTACTTTTACTTTTTGTAGAAAGGTAAAAAGCTCTAAACATTATTACATTTGACCATTAGACTGTAATGTTTAGAAATTTCCTGAAATAGTCTAGTAACTGTGACTGAGTGTGACTGTAACTGGAGTTCTGTATTTGACCCATATATCAGTTAGTCTTGATTGTAAAATATTGTCACTGCGCTGCGACACAAAACTTTGAACTTGTGTTAAAACTTCGCGCTGTACGACCGCGGCGCGGTGGAATTGAATCAGCTGGCGCTAACGGAGTTTACATTTGTGAATTATTATATTAACAGAACTTATTTCTTTAACTTGCAGAGTTTTAGAATAATATTATCGTGTTTGCAAAATTAGGTTCAAAAGAACGCAGAAGGTGAAAAATTAATAATCAAGGATGCTTAATAAAAATAATGTTGGCTTTTATCGTTTTTACTACGAACTGTATAAGGATTATTATAAGCGATAACTTACCGCTAACTTAATGTGGACCATCTTGGGGGCGACGGTGACAGTCTGCAAGAGAACATAAAATAACTTAAAACAAACATAACAACACAAGTTGTAGAGCATACTAACATAACTTTAAACATACATACAACATATACAACATAAATTACAGAGAACATACCCAAATTAACACACATATTATAACTATGTATAATAAATTACAGAGCTTTTACATATGGAACTAAGTCGTGTTAATTAGAGCGCTCGGGAGCGAGCACTAAGCACAGAGGTAGCATTTACTTAACCCTAACTTAATACGCACTTAGCACTGTTACACGTTATATTAAAGCTTTTGAAATAAATTCAACTCCTACTTTATTTTAAGTTGTGGAATAAATTCGCTTTATTTTATATTACGAATATTCACTCACTTGTTTTGTTGAAAATTGTTTTAAATGATGGATATTTTTGCTTTTTTTATTTTAGGATTAAGTTAGATGGATAAAATATATGTGCAGGATGATGCATGATTAGTGGGTTAAATTTCGAATCTATACATTTTAAATATGTATAAGTAAGACTTGGAGGACATCATCTGTAAGTTAATCTGCGTGATAATTATAACAGAAGGGTTATATATATAAGAGCTTAAAAATGTTGTTTTAATTTGCCATGAAAATATATGGCTTTGAAAAAAAGACTTGCAGATATTGATTATGCAGTATTGGGTTAAAAACTATGCAGAAATTTACGTTGTATAACGTGTTATCTTTCATAATTAATTTTACACCAAACGATTGTAGGCTTTATATTAAGCTGTCCTTTAGGAAAATCTGGGACAATTTTCCTTGTTCCACTGGTATTATCGCCTAAGGAAAATAATTTTCTTATTTTATGATCAAATCTCTGCTTCTTGAAATGAGGAGGTCTTCAAAATTTATGATTTTGTAAAAAGCTTCAACAATATTTGTGATTGTACTTATGTATTAAACAAATGTGTGTTTGTTTGTATGCTATTCATTGCATCGCATTGATTGTTTTCTTCTTATTACTTGAATTATACCTACATATCGTCTTATTCTTCTTATTCAATTCTATGCTTGGAATTTATTGAAAACTTATAATTAGTGCTCTAGTAGATTCAGTGATTTAATTATATTGTACACTTGTATTGTTTACTTCATAATATCTATGTATTGCAAAGAGGCTACTTACTTACCCGTAAACAATAAGGAATATTACAGTTGAAAATTTTATTAAGGCTTGTTTACAGAGATGCTTAGAGCTGATTTTTTAATCATCAGTTAATTCTTAACTGTAGAATAAAATTGACATTTGACATACTGTAGTATGGAAGAATTGTCAAATATTCAAAGTTAGAGATATTCCTCAGTTAAAATTTATCTTACGTTGGAAAATTTGGGGATTTTTCTACAAAAGTATTACAAATTAGAGGTTACATTTTATGAACATAATATTTAATAATGCCAGATAATTTGTTTTAATGTAATTTGCGGTAACCGTCTGTGCGCCGGCGCAGGCACAAGATGTCGCAACTTGTAATAGTTATAATTGTACACAAATTACTAAGTAAGCTACTGTTTTAAATATTATGGGGGAATGAAGTCACGACTTGGAAATAATTAAATATTTTGTGAAGTTATTTTTGTAATTTTCATACAAATACATAAAATTATTATGCACTTATTTGTGTTTTAGAATTACATTGGAAAATATTATTATAATATTTATCACTATTCAAATTGGATTTGGGAAACTGAAAACTGATGATATTTAATTATTTATATAAATTAAATAACACGTTTGAACTTATACTTCAAATAATATTTTATGTATTTAATTGTAATCTTTAATCAAACTTTTACATTTATTTCAATAACTATTACAACACCCTGACACCCCAGCCACACTAATACCTAATTTATTATTAACAATATTATCACACACCACAAACTTACCAAAAGTTCACAGAATCCGAAAAGCACAAGAAAACGTCAACTGATATAATTCACAAACTTCGTAAAATAATCGGCAAAGTTCGGAGCAAGTCGTCCACGTGACGTGCGCACGCGACGATGCTGTGTTGCGGGCTGCGTGTGCGCATCTTTGCTTTATACGCAGCCCCCACCCCCCCTACTGGTAGTGGCGAGGATATGTAATGCCACTAAATATGCTCTAATAATTGGCCTAATGATAGCTCTGATGATGGGAGCCATCGCTTCAAGGGAAGTGAAAGGTCAGTTAGGTAGGCTCTGCTGGATGTCCGCGATATATGCAGGTATCCTTTCGACGTAACGGGGTTGAAATTAAAAGTTCCTATCCAATCTGGTGGTAAAAATAAGTTGATTGATTTTCCTATCGGCTTATCGATGTTCCGGTTCAAAGCAGGGGTAGGAACGGCGTGGTTTTAGTCAGTAAAAGTCGCATACACACTCTCGCTTCACTCGAGACAGGAGAAGACATTGTATGTTTTTCACACCTCAAAATATGTTGGTTAATTTTTAAAATAAATTAGAATTCTGGAAAGGTTATCATTTTATGCTCTTTTTGTGATGTCAATCTTCGATGTCTTGGCTGATGGTCATCAAATAAACGAATCAACCCTTTGATCACGCTTATGTTTTATGAGTCAGTTACTTTGTACATTCTTTATTTAGTTTATTTTGAGCCGTGATCGTCCCAGACTCCCAGTGCAGGACAAAGGCCAATACCCTCTTTCTACTCCTCTTTGTGAATAGTCATATACATTATATTTCATTATATTTTTTCCTGCTTTTCCTCTGTTATGTTATGATATTATTACCACGTAATAGAATGAACATCAGATGGCTCTCAGTCGCCTCTATCAAAGTTAGACTAACCAGCATATTACAGAAAGTTCAGCACTTTCATCCAATATTAGGTAACTGTAAAACAAAGTAACAATGGTCCAGGTGATAAAGTGACCCATTCTCTGGTTTAGTAGTAAGTGCCGTGAATATAGTGCCCAGTTACGTTGTGTGATGTAACTGCTAGGGACTACAATGTAAAGCTCTTTGAAGATATACAGGTATTATGTTTGTTGTTGGTGTCGATGCTTTCAGAGCTTCTTTAAAGTTGGTATTATTCTGAAATTATGTTTTTTATGGGTTAAGCCGATCAACGAGCAGACGGATCATCTGATGATAAGCTCCCATGGACATCTAAAACACCAGAGGCGTTACAAGTGTATACGTAAATAAACTTTATGTAAACATAAATCTTAGATTTTAAAAAGGAGTAGATCGAAGTGCTCAATTAATAATGAGCAATTTTATTTGCCACTGCCCCACTGGGCACCATTCGAAACTTTGTGTTACAAGTAGAGAAAGCACATTAAGTCGATATTTATGGGATGAAAAATAAGCAGACCAATCACTTGATAGTACTCAGTCAGTGCCACCCCTCGACCTGTAACTCTAGGGGAGAGCCGAGTGTGTTGCCGGCCTTTATAAAATTTAGGTTGTCGGTGATTGAACTCTATACCTCTATTATGTGCATAGATAGAAATATAATGAGTAAAATCCATTGGTCAATTGTCTTATGTTGAGAATTCCGTAAATCAATATGTACAATGAAGTCACAAGAAATAAGTTTAATTATTATTAATAAGGTGCACGATAACAATAAGCTAATATTTATAAATTTATGTACAAAATACAATATGTACTGTTTTTAGCATCATTATGAAGCAATATTCCCAAACTATATATTATTATCTATTTTCGTGACACGAGTTAATAAATTAACATTTTGTATCTACATACATACAATCGGAATATAATAAAATAATAATATTTTATATTAAGACACAGTACAATATAATCAATGTATAAAATATATGTAATTGTGCTGAATTATCAAGAGCTGGATATCATCCATTTTACCCTAAACAACTGAGTCATTAATGATAGGATACTTTTCTAACACATTCAGTATAGTACAAAAAGATGAATAGGAATACAACATGCTTACTATGTAAGACAAAACGAGGCGAAAGTTATTTTAGCCGAATTTGAACAATGTTGCAGAGAATAGCAGAACTGTACAAACCTCTATCCTTTTATGAGTAACTTCACCTATATTACTTAAACTTGACAAATCCCACTATCAGAATTACTTTACATTCAAAAATTGTGCTATCTAACTATGAAAACCGAACGATAATTAGTTTAGTAATTTTTCAGTTGATTTCTTAATACGGTTGACAAAATCCAATAGGTAAGACGGGAAGATACGATTACCGTGAATATAATTAGTTCAGCGTATGTCGTGTAGATGGTATCTCGTTGTTTGTGCTGATTTAATTATTTTCCTGCTCAGCTTCCAGCTACAAGCAGCCTCTGCCTGGCTAATTACCACCAGCCTATACTTACTACCACTAATTAGCTGAATATATTTCTATAATAAATCACGTGAATTTGCTTATTATTGTATTATCGGTCCATGAGGTTTCCAAGGGATTTTCCGGATTCCTAGTTAGGTGGAACTAGGGAGTTTTATTTCTGCTATAGTTAAAGGTTGTTTTTAGTGAGATGTCGGCCTCTTGCCTCTCCTTTTAGAAGTTTTATTGTAAAAATATGTTTTTAATAGGCTGTCTCGAATGTAGATTTAGTCCATCAGTGAACTTCTCCCGGCTGATTCATAATGAATTTATGATAAAAATACGGTGATAAGTAATATAAAGCATGTTTTTTTATGTTTGGACCATTAAACATTTTTTTTATGTGACGAGCAAAACCGACTGCAAATATTAGTGCTAGGGCTTGTTTTGTTATTAGATTAGTTGTGGCTTATGGTTGGATCACGATGTTTTCTTGGATTGATCGTAAAATTTAATTACATTTATGTACCAAGATATTCTAAATAAGTAAGCGTCGCTCGTAAAATATTCAGATTAATATCGAATTTGGTTGAAATGAAAAACTTATGTAAACGTTTCATAATAGCAAAGAAAACAGTGAAATTTATAAGATAAAATGTTTTTATCTAGGTATTTTGAAAATTAACAGTATAAAACATTATTGTAGTAAAATTGATATTAAGTCGAACTTTTCCTATTTAATTTTTCGTTGTAAAAAGTTACTTAAGTTTGTGGTAATAACTTACAGACAACTAGAGCACCCTTTGCAGACGGCAGGCGAGGGGAGGGGGCGAGGAGGGGGGATATTGTAAGTAAAATAGCTAATGAAAAACTTGATATTATAATGAAAAAGTTGAAATTATAAACTTTTGCATTACCACGAATGTAGCCCTAGGCAGTAGGCTAGACATGCGACAAGTGAATAACGGTAGATTCATAATTAAACGTATCACAAAGAGGGGCTTTGTTTAAGGTTTTAAGGGTAAATACTTATTGACGAACTTAATATTTATTGTATTTTAAGTTTTAAAAATACAATCTTTTAATATTTTAGAAAAAAGTGTCACTGCGCACTTGCTGCACAAAGATTTACTATTCCTTTCCTACTGAGAGACATCACGCCACGCGGCTAAGACATGGCGTGATATGCGTCGAAATGGGTGCTTGAACGCCATCAAATACAAATACTTTATTGCATCGTTTCATCTTTGTCTTCGAAGTCAACCCGCGTGTATGATGATGACGATGACTGTGTGAAGTGAACCTTTTATTCACTAACCTTCATAGTGAGTAGCTGTAGTGTTGTAAAAACTAAGAGAATGTATAAAGTTACGAGTTTCATGGAATTACATTATGTGTCGCTGTAACTTATGTACTATGAAGTACCTACTTTGTATCTACTAGTGCTGTCGACGAGAATAACGGTTTCATTTAGTTTGAGAGCTATGAAAGTATTATTGTAGTGTATTATTTCTCAAATATTTAGGCAGACATGTCAGCCTGGAATTTTGCTCTGTAATTAGATATGAACATCTGTGATTATAGAGCAATTTTCTCTTCGGGATTGTCATTACACTCTGCAAAGTTTGTTATATTATGCATCTAATAAGGGATTGATAGTTAACACTTTCATATACTTATATGGTTTTTTAAATAATATATTTATTTATTTATCTCATTATGCATTAACATAATAAAATACAGCAAACGTTTTACAATTAAACCTAGGACTGGTGTCTGTTGTCAGTTAAACCTGTATCACAACGTTGGTAATGCACTTGTGATTAGTTGTGATACTTGTGATGTTGCAGGTGTTCTTGGGCTTCGGAGTCCTTTGGCCATTAAGCCGAACTGACAGTAGTGTAAATAAATAAAGACTTGTACAGTAAATGGTGGGTATTCACAGTGGTGATGGTAAAAAACTAGTTTTATTTTTATAAAAGAAAGGAATTAAATGTTTATTTTATGTAATAATAATTGTAATCAACCACCGCTCAATGCTGATGTAGCATGAATGACATGAAAACAAAAACTATTAAAATTGTAAAACAATTTCTTATTATCAGTGTTTCGGCAGTGTTCTGATTACTCGCAATTTTACAAACCTAATAAGTGTTTTGCAAGTACGAAGTACATCTCTATTCTCTACAGATCTTTTAGCATCATCGTACTACAAGATAATCGGCGAAGCGTCATCGATTCATGGTAGATGTCCCAGACACACGCATGAAGCGCTTCGCATCATAGAATTCTTTGTCAGAGTCTGTATTTCCTAAAGGTTATAACCTGGGTATTTTCAAGGCCCGAGTGAATACGTTGCATATGGGTCGACGTGTTCCACCGTAGACAGCATCATCGCTTACTACCAGGCAAGATAGTGGTCAAACGTCAGTACCACATAATATAAAAAAAATCAAATAAGTAATGAGAACAACGCTACTAATATTACACACACACAGTTACGCATGCGCTCACCTTTACTTCAATAACATTACTTACATTATTATATCTATTATCTCAAATTGGGGTTATATGTATACTATATCATCATTATCTGATGACGATGATACCTACTGACCGGGTTTCGGGACTTTACAAGAACCAATGAGTTGTTCTTTAAAGTGTTTATATAGTGATCACTATCATTATCAAATTCCGATTCGATGACTGGTGATAAGAGTAAGTAATATAACTTCACATAAA